AAGAAAAGAATACATGAACCTAACTTCCGGATCTGCAGATTTCATCAATGCTTACAAAGTTATCTAAACATACTATATACTCTAATCTAGGACTAGCAAATGTTTTGATAGTCATCTTGAGCAAAGAAACCACACTACATGTCTCCTTGAGGTACTAAAAATAAATAACTAACCTATAATTTCATGAAATCAAATAATAGGGCAAGATGAAAAGGAGGAAATGTTTGTCTTGTTTCTTCATGCATCGATTGATTAATCCTGCTTTATCTCTCAAAATACTTATCCACTCTTACATGATAATGCACACATAGTTGCTTAAAGTAATATAAGATTTTTCATTACTGTGTGAAGTTGCTATGTCACCAGTACTGCCTTGGCTTATCTTGGGCTACTTTTGCCACCATGATAAGTAAAATGATTTACATCTTAAATTACATGAAAAGGACTTGCAAAGCTCCCTGTTAATTTTTTTTTTCCAACCACATCCTTATTTGTAATGGTGGCAGTGGCAAAACTTTAATATAATGTTCAATAATAACAATCACAACAGGAACTGCTAACGTTTACTAGCACTTGTTATGTTTCAAGCCATTCTCACACGAAGTCTACATACAGGGCAACAGTTCCATTTTGACAAGACTCGTAGATCTACTCAAATCTGCCAGATAACACAAGATAAAGATTAAAGGGAAATATTCCACTCCATGTGAACCTATCATTCTGTTTACTACCTTTCTTTGGAACAAACTGAAGATATCAGTACTTTTCAGAACATTATCACACATTAAACTCCACTGTATACTCTGCTCTAAACATCTCCTCTCTCACTTGGAATTTGAAAGGTGTCATTAGTGAAGCTAGACCAGTATGAAGTTGCTAACATTGCTTTTAGGGATTTATTTTTGAGATTATTAGATTATTTAAGTGGTCATTTAAATTGGGAATTATATTTTTAAATCTGTGCCCTTCCGAAGTTTAAGTTATCTTCTTTGAAGTAATATTAAAAACACCTGAAAGTAGTGAAAATTAACCCAAATCACATCACTGAACAGTTTTGGAAAATACAGATTATGCATACAGGCTTTGTTTAAAAGGTCAGGGAATTAATAATGCAAGATGTTCTTCTTTTATAGACTTAACCTTAAAAAATGCTTTTTCTACTTCTTTCAAGGCTTACAGGTGTGTCTTATGAATTTTATCCCAATGAATGGATATTTGTCACCATATTTCAAAACATTTCTATCATATATTGAACAATTTATCCACTTCCTTTCAAAAAGGTTTTTCCTCTTCTGTGAAAGTAATTTTAATAAAATATATTTAAAAGAGAAAAAGCAATAAAACTTTTAACATTCATAACCACTACATGCTTTCATCAGAACACAAGAAAAAAATGCAATACACTTGTTCCTCTCTTTTATCTTAAAATATTGACTTTCTAATACTTGTAAAATATAATTTTAGTAACTCATCAAGACAGAATACATAAAATTGGCATTTTTTGATATGCACACAAGTTGAGAAGGCATCTTTCCCAACTGTGTTGCAGAAAATGAAATGTATCTGGCACAGCAATATGGCCCAGCATGTAAACCAAAATCAGTGGGAAGAAAAGGGGTTTCTTTTGTCCTTCTTTTCAAAGCAGAACATTTAAAATATACCCGCAACAGTAAGTCATTAAAAAGTCAGTTGAAGTGTATTTCAAAGGTATATCTGGCTAAAGAAAACACAATAACAAGAGAGCTGGCTGGCGGTGGCACGGACAGTAACAGTTTGTTCAGTTTTCATCATTCTACATCAGTGACTTCCAAATCTCTTTCCCCAGCGGTCCGAAACTGGTTTTTTGCTTTTGCTTGACATCTCCCCCTAGTGTCAGAGAATGTGCACATAATGTTGCTGGGGCCTCATGCTGGGTTGAGGGCGGAGAGAAGGGGACTGTGTTGGCAAACCTGCCTGATGACAGGATCAAGCAGGGAACAAGAGAACAATTGAGCAAATTGCTTTTAGTTTTGCACTGAGTTTTCTCTCTGCCTTGGAAGAAACTTCTCTTTAACTAGGCAATTTGAGAATGTATTTAATGCTTTCACTGTCTTGTCTTTAATGTATAGCCATCTACGCTTGTAAACTGTGAATAAAACTGAAACCTGCATATGCTACTAGCTCCCTCCCCATGCCCAAGTATTTTCAGAAGGAAAGGACTCCAAGGTATGCAGGAAGATTGGAAGGGCGCTGCAAAGCTAAGCCCACTCCTGGACACTTTGGTGAACCCTCTTTCAGTTCCAGATCCCAACTCCATTTCTTCCTCTTCCTAATCAGACAGGCAAGCTGCAGGTTCCTCTGAGTTGGGCATGGAAGTGTTTAAAGGACTGAGGAATCCTCTCTCCTACACTGGTTAGAGAGTGCTGATGGAAACCAGATTCATGATTCATAAAGGGGAAAACTCTCCATTGCTCAGGGAAGGAGTTCCAATGAACAGAAGAAGCTGGGAACTGGCAATGGTACCTCTTCCTGGGACCGTGTCTGGCATCTGGACAACCACCTCAGACCTTAGTGTTCTGCCTACATCCCACGTTTTGCCTAGTTTTGGAAAGATACTTTAGTTTTTGTAATCCGCTCATGTCTTCATGGAAATGCTGGTTCTTTATAATGAAAAGCCTCTTTAGAACTGCAGAAGGTATGATTAATAATGTCATTTGTAAATGTGACATAACAGATATGCAACAGTGCATCACAGAGAATAAAGAACAAATTAATATAGCTAATCCATCATAGAACTGATTCTAGGCATAGAACGTAGGCAGAATGTATATAAACTTGCAAGCCTCTAGTATTAATCAGTAGGACTCAAGTCATCTCAAAACTTAAGTTTTAAAATTGCCAAAGGTAGCTATAATAATGGAAAATGTCCTGGAGAAAGACTTGAGTTCAAAATCTCTGTCATTTATTAGCTGTGTTAACCTGGAAAGGTGAGTTAACTTCTCAAAGCATCAGGTTCCTAATCTATAAAATGGCAATAAGAACTATCACATAGGTATGTTACGAGGATTAAATCATATAAGTTTATAAAATACCAAGCATATGGTAAAGACACACACAATTAATGTTAGTTTAATATCTTCTCCAAAACGTGTTTAGGTCTTTTGCACAAAAAATTTATATTTACATCAGTAGAATTTTTTATAAAGATTAGTAGTTACTAAAAACTTGTTGATAAAGATGAACATAAAGATTAATTCAGAATTATTTACTTTTGCTTTGAAAAGTATCTTGATTCAGTGAACTGCAAAGTTATTTACTAAGATTCAATTATAAATCTACCTTCCAAAATAATTCAATTATTATTTCTTATTCTATTACCCTTGATATTAAAAATTAAGAAAACCAAAAGTAAACATTCCCCCAATTCTAAAATTCTTACACCTTAGGATTTTGAAAACACTCAAAAAGAAATACTTCCTTTAACATATAGCATTCATCTATACTGAATTTAAAACATCTTTCAAAATCACTTTTTAATCTTACTTTTGAAATCCTAACAGGAGTTCTATCCAACTCTGTTTTAAGATGAAGGGAAAGGTGGATTTATTTAGGCTTTCGTCAATATTATCTCTACCTACTCTTCTGAGAATAATGAAAAGCTTTTTCTAAAACGTCAAGTGTCTGTTTACGGCAAGCAATTGTGTTTATTAAGCAACAAAAAATACTCATATTCTGGTTTATCTGAAACTGCAACAATAAATCAACCTAAAAAAAAATCTTCAAATGAAAATACATCTATTCCAGTATCTTTCCTTTCAAAACATGGCCTGATACTTTTTGTAGCTCAACTTTTAATTAATTTAAGTTTTAATGTGCATGCCATTAACCTAACATAATCAGAGTCAAAAGTATTAAAGAGTTAAAATAAACTAAGTGTCTCAGGGAAAAGAGTTCTTTAGGTCCCTGGAAGAATGGAACTTTTAAAATATTTTCAGGCATTAACGTGATTTAATAAACTTTTACTACAGTAAGAGAGTATGCCTCTTCAAAACTGAGGGAGTAAAAACAGCCACTCAGTGGGAGGCCTTCGAGATCCTACAAGAAAAATATTAAAGCACATGAAAAACTTCATTCATGTCTGATCAGAGTCAGCATGATGAATAAAACACCATACTTTAAAAGCAACTGCTTTCGAATGACCATTAAAACTTAGAAAAAGTCACCGGAACATATCTGTTTGCCTAACTCAGATGAAAGACTGACGCTGTTCACTTGTCGGGCAGCAATGGACGTGCAGGAGAGGTTTTAACGAGCAAGTAGGGGAAATGAGCAGCATTCTGTGTTAAGGGTTCCCCCAGCACATGACCTCACATTGAGCATTAATTCTCCTCTCCGCAAGTCTTCCTTCCTGCAAGTCATTTGCTTCAAATGGTGCCCCCTCCTCACCTTTTCCTTTTGACAAAGTGAGGTGGACTGCTCCTTCCAGAAGACCTCGAAAAAGTACTCACTATATGTCCAGCTGAGGAGTTCTGGTTGCCCATTGGTTAAAGCACTTGGCTGCTAACCGGTGGGCGGTTAGAACTCCATCAGCCGCGCTGGCAGAGAACGGTGGGACAGTGGGGCAGTCAGCTTATGTAAAGATTTACAGCCTTGGAAAGTCTATGGGGCAGTTCTACTCTGTCCTCTATGGTCACTACGAGTCGGAATCGACTGGACAGCAATGGGTTTGGGTTTCTGTATATGTCTAGCTTTACTTCATCTCCTATGTTGACTACTATTAATACTTCCATTTTTATTGGCCAACCGGCTTTTGGCGGCAGGTGTCATTTCTGCCAAAATAAAAAAGTCAGGGTGGAAGTCAAAACTCTTATCTTTGCTAAACAGAAGCAAAACGTTTTCTTTCCACAGTTCGACCTACTTTATCCACCTCGCTCCCCTCCATTTCCCACCGTGGTGATCCCACGAAGCTGGAGGCGCGGACCCATGCCCCGGGTCTCCGGCCGCGCCCACCTGGCACTCACCTGGCTGCTACCGCGCTCCTCGCCCTTCTCGGATGTCCCGAGTTCCGCGGGGCTCCTTGCTGGCTCTGCGGGCGGCTGAGGCGGCGGTGGCTCCAGCAACTGCTCCAGGCAGGCGGTACCCGGCAGAGAGGAGCTCTTCTGATGGCACAAATGAGCCCCGGGGCCCCGACGCCGTGCATCCTCATTTCGGGTGCGGTCCCCCCTCGGGGGTGGCTGGGGCGAGGAGGACAAGGAAGATGAGGCGGAGGACGAAGAGGGAGCGGAGTCGGGCGAACGTCCACCAGGAGGCGTCACTCCAGCTGCTCCAGCTGCTGCCGCGGTCCCTTTTCCCGAGGGGAGCAAATGCTCGCGGATCCGGCGGCGCAGCGCGGACCGCTGCTCGGCTCTCCCGGCGCCGCCAGGCTCGAGGGGCTCCGGGGAGGAGCAGCACAGGTTGGGCTGGGAGGAGGAGAAGACACGGTCCAGCACTTGCTTTCGCTTCTTGAAGCCACTCCACCTGCTGCCCGTGCCACTCACGCCGGCCAGCGCGTCCCGCCGGCCCGCCGGGGGCGGCGGAGACCGCGACGGGGTGTCAGCTGTGCGGCTGTCGGGGCCCCCTGCGCGCCCGCCCCCGCTGCCTTTGCCCTTGCCCACCCCCAACTGCAGGTTCTTCCAGAGCCGGGCGTGGAAGGAGGAGGACGCCGCCGCAGGCTCGGGCTCGCCCGCCGCTGCAGCCCGGGCCTCCATCCTCCACCCCCTGCTCCTCCTCTCCCCTCCTCCTCCTCCTTCTCCTCCGCCCTCTCCGGCTGCGCCTCCTCCCCGAGGCCCGCCGCGGCGGCGGCGGGGGCGGCGATGGCGGCCGCAGCAGCAGAAGCCGGGAGCCCCCAGCGGCCTTAGGCTAGCGCAGGGGAAAGAGGCCACTGCACCCGAGGCTCTCCGACCGCGGGACTCCGACGCCGCCTCTTCCTCCTGTACCTGCCGGGTGGAGCTGGCGTTGCCACCGAATCCTGGCCGCCGCGCCTGCAAAGTTTCTAGCTCCGAGCTCCGCGGCTCCAGTCCACTGGAGTCTCCCAGGCCGCGCCCTGGCTCCCTCTGATCGTTGGCTCCGGGCTCGGGAAGCTAAACGCAGCCGTGCGTGTGCGACCAGCTGCGCCAGGGACCGCACCCGGCACCCTCAGGGCAGCACCTGTCAGCAGTGGGGGCGCCTGCCTCCAAACTGGGCGCGCACAGGGCTCACACTTAAGGCCACGCAGGGCTGGAGACGCCCGGGACCAGCCGCGCAGACGGAGCGCCCCGGGACCATTCTTCAGCTCCTAGGTGGGAGGACTAGCGAGCGAGCGAGAGCCAGGTGGAGCTGGGTAGGGCCGGAAACCAGCTTGCTCTCCGAGACTGGGCCACAGATGCCCACGCAGCTCGCTCTGGGCCAGCCGCTGGACGCGCCGGCTACGGTCTGGGTCTGATGAAGTGAGCCGGAATCGAGACTGTGCGCCTTCGGTGGGTCCTGTGGGTAAGCCAAGCGTCCACACCAAGCGGTGAACCCGAGTGTTTTCTGGGGCAGAACACGCAGCCCCAGCCACGTTGCGCGCCCTGCGTCTAAGACTAGAGTTTAAGTTCTTCTGTCTTGACTTCAGCCCCATCCACCCCTCCCCCACGCTTCATTTGTACGTGCGCTGGCTACTTCTCTTATGATCAGAGTCCAGCAGTTTCCGGAGTCTAGCAATAAGGCAAGTCCTTAAATTGCAAGGGCGGAGATGCGGAGGATGCGCATTGCCTCCGGCCCCGTTCCGCACTGCATTTTCCTTGGTTTTCTTCATTTGATTCGTTGCAAGACAAATGAAAAAGCTTCTAGCTCATTCAGATTTTGTTTCTCTCGAAATCTACTGATCCAGGTTCTTCTGATGCTATTAGGAGAGCCCCACAAAAAGCAGGCGAGATTGTGCCCCTCCCTCCTCCTCTAAAACTTGAAATAGTTCACTGAACTTTGGCGCCACACTGAAGCCTAGTTTCAATCTTCACTTGCTAGCGGCATGCCCTCGAGGTGTTACCAACCTAAGCCTTGTTTTCCTCACCTTTATAACAAATATTTAACAAATATTTATTGAGCACCCACCCACTATGTGCCAGGCACTATGACAGACTCTGGGGTTGTAGCTGTGAACAAAACAGACCGGGCCCCACAGTGGGGGAGTCAGACAATAAACAGAATTTCTAATAGTGACTAGTCTTTTGAAGACAATAAAACAGGGTGCCGTAATAGAGTGGCTATGGAGATAGGGTTGCCAGATTAAACGCGGGACACTCAGTTAAATACGAATTTCAGATAAACGACAATTTTTTAGCATATGTGTATGTTTCAAATATTGCTTGAGAGGTGCTTATACTAAAATATTATTTTGTTTACCTGAACTTCAAATTTTACCAGATGTTTTGGATTTTTATTTGCTAAGTCTGGCAACCCTGTACAGAGGGATTTCTTTAAACTTTGTGCATGGGGACAGTTTCTCTGAGAAGATACAACTTGAAATTGAGACAATGAAAACAGAGAGCCAGCCACTGAAAGATCTAATTACAGCATTCCAGGAAGAAGGAATAATAGGTGCAAAGACTCTGAGGCAGAAAACAGTTTAGCTAGGCATATTCACAGAACAGAAGGAGACCACTGCAAATGGAGTGAAGCAAGGGGGATGGGGTTAGTAATCCATGCAGTGGGATAAATGGGCAGGATCCAGGCAGGGTAGTTTATATAGGCCATCATAAGAATTTGAGGTTCCTGTAAGTGAAATCGTGAGCCATTAGAGGGTTTTTAAGTATGGGAGTGATGTGATGTAATTTCCTAATACCTGCCTCACAGGGCTATTTTGAGGATTAAGTGAAGAAAGACTTAGCTCAGTGGTCTGCATATAGCTGATATTATTGTTATTTGGCAGATATTTACTAATTGTATGAGCATTATGCTTTGGAAAAAGATGAGTGGTTAAAGATTATGATTTCCATTTATATAACACTTGAAATGAAAAATTATAGAACTAGAAAACAGAGGTTGCCAGAGGTTGGATATGGGGCAACTATAAAGAGGTTGCCTAAGGAGGTTCCTTTGTGGTAAAGAAACAGTTCTCTGTATTATTTGTGGTGGTGGTTACATTAATTATGTGATAAAATTGTATAGAACTATACATACACACAAGTACACATAAAAACTGATGAAATCTGAATAAGAACAGTGAATTGAACCAATGTCAATTTCCTGGTTTTAATAGTATATTCGCCTCATATGCATGCGAAAGCTGGACAATGAATAAGGAAGACTGAAGAAGGTTTGACGCCTTTGAATTATGGTGTTGGCAAAGAAAGTTGACTATACCATAGACTGCCAGAAGAATGGAAACCCTGGTGGTGTAGTGGTTAAGAGCAATGGCTGCTAACCAAAAGGTTGGCAGTTGAAATCCACCAGGCGCTCCTTAGAAACTCTATGAGAGAGTTCTACTCTGTACAATAGGGTCGCTATGAGTTGGAATCGACTAGACAGCAACGGGTTTTTTTGGTTTGGCCAGAAGAATGAACACACCTGTCTTGGAAGAAGTATAGCCAAAATGCTTCTTAGAAGCTAGGGCAGTGGTCCCTCCTGATAACTTTGGACATGTTATCAGGAGCGACCAGTCCCTGGAGAAGGACATCATGCTTGGTAAAGTAGCAGGTCAGCAAAAAAGAGGAAGACCCTCAACGGGATGGATTGACATAGTGGCTGCAACAGTGGGCTCAAACATAGCAATGATTGTGTGAATGGCACAGAATCAGGCAGTATTTCCTTCCATTGTACTTAGGGTCTCTATGAGTCTGAGAACTGGCACCAAACAACAACAACATAGTTATGTTTGATGATACCATTGGGGAAAACTGAGTGAGATACAGTATTTTTACAGCTTCCTGTGAGTTTATAATTATTTCATTATTTAAAGAATAAATAAAAACAAAGCAATAATAATAATGTTGTTGTTTTTAAAAAAGATTGTGGGCTGCTGAAAATTTTCCTCTGGAGTTTTGATTGTTGGAGAATGAAACAGTCTCAGACCCACAATGGACCATACTTTTCCTCTAGCTCTCCTCCTCCTGAGTCAGTCAGGAAGCCTCTGAGGAGCAAATGAGGGGAAGGACCACGATTGGTGGTCCACATTAAAGCAGAATCCTAACCACAAATATAGAAACAAAGGCTGTGAAGATATCTCCACATGGAAGAAGCAAAGCCAACCACATTCGCCATTGTAGAGGCACCTCATCAGGTTTAAAAAGCAGAAGGGGTGGCATTCTTCATTGGCTCCTCCTTCCTTTTCACTCTCTTGTATTTAATTTTTTTGGGTCAGTCTTAACTTTCAGTTAAACTTATCCCAACTAAGCTATGAAGCTGATGATAGCTTTCAGTGTCACCTCTCCCTAGAGTATTTATTATCTAATGAGGGCCTTATAAAACTGAAAATCTACACCAAAATAATCATTATATATATAATCTATATTAAGGACTTAGCTATTCAGGGCATTGTCAGTCCTACAAAGTAAGCATCTTAAGCTGAGTCCTCTAGAGAAGCAAAACCAGTAAAGTCTATAAATATATACATATATAGAGAGATTTATATCAAGGAAATGGTTCACACCATTGTAGAGGCTGGAAGGTCCCAAGTCCACGGGTTAGGATAGAAGTTCTCCTGATTCATGTAGCTGCAGAGGCTGGTGAACCCACGACTGGCAGGTCAGAGAGCAGGACTCTTGCTCACAGGCTTTGAAGATCGATGAATCCCAAGATCTTCAGGCAAGACCACAGGTAAGCCGCTAGCTCAAGTTCCAAAAACCAGAGTTCAGACATACAGGAGCCAGCTGCAGGATCCAGAGCTAGGAAAAGCCCACGAGCCTTGCCAGAATGTCTGCTTATATTCAATGCAGGCCACATGCCTAAGGAAACTCCCTTTCAACTTACTGGCTACTAACAGCAGATCCCATCATGGAAGTGATCACATTATATCAGATCTCATCATGGAAGTGATCACAACATCATTTGACTGCCAAACCACTGAGAATCATGGCCCAGCCAAGCTGACACACAACCTTAACCATCACAGTGAGCTACACACTGCCCTGTATTTTCCCTCTAAGCTGGCCTCGATTTCTTATTAGATCAATGTGGGGATCACTTTTAAAAACCCAAAGTAAACTATCCATTCCACATCACCCAATCAAGCTGAATGCACCAAGACCACACACAAAATTACCTCAACATAGAGCTACTCTGACGTCCAAAAGGAGCTACAATACCCAAAAGTCTCATTCTCTCTAAAATGGGAAGAATATCAGCCTTTCCAGGACATGGTGAAACAAAAGCACAGAGAAGACAAGGAAAGAAATATAGGATGAACACAGAGAATTAGGAAGAAATGACTACCATTCCTTACTAGGACTTTTTTGTAAATAAGTTTGTCATAGTTGTAGCCTGGATATAACAATACAAAATTTAGCCTTACTTTCATACAGTCTTTTAGTGATGCATTTAATTGACTTTTGTAGCTTAATATTCTCATTTATTTTTTCTTCTGCCTAATTTTGCCTCGAAAATACTAACTCTGAGATTTGGGGTTCTGAAATTCCTGATCCCAAATAACACTTATCCATCAATGTGAATTCATTTATATAGCTTGAAAGAGCATGTGTAGCTTTTCCTAACTATCTGAAGTGGATTATAAAATGAGAGGGTGTCCTACAAA